ATGCTCTTTTGCCAACAAAATTCATCTATTCACGACGAAAGCGAACTGAATGCTTCGTTGCACTTCATGCAAACTTTCAAGCGAATGTAATCGTTAATGCCCACGCTCACTTTTTTGAATATCAGTGGTTTCAAAATAAGCCGTCGCCCGTCGCATCCAGCTGCAACTCTTCCATTTGCGACGGCTACTTTCTCTTTTATAAGTAACTATAAATGTTTTGTGAGCAAACAAGCGTGTATTTCCCCTAGAATTTCGTCGAAACATAGCCACAGTCACAGATTACTAGATTAGAAGCTTTGATAGGTATGCGTCTCTTGCGTGTTGAGGACAGGCTCAGAGGTTTTCTTGGTAGCGGTTTCTAACAGGTTGTACTTTATGTATAAGATGTCACATTCGTCTTTAAGAACAAAACAAAATGGCGGAAAAACGACAAAGAAGGCCAGCGGAGATGTAGCCGCTATTGTTATTGGACGTTGTTGTTATAGGCATTAATTATAAGAACATAAATTTAACAGTGTTTTAGACATTAAAAATATGATTTTTTGTGTCTCAAAAACAAATGCTGGAAAATGCATCTTCTAGAGTCTAGAAGTTCAAAATTTTCTGGAAGCAAATTCAAGCAATATCAGGGACTGTGCAACAGGGGGGGGGGCTTTAGCCCCCGCCCCCCAATAATTTTCCATACATATGTGATTTTTATAAAATAAGAATACTATTAAACTCTTTCAAATCAGTTAACAATATACTTACAACTTATATAGCCAAGTATTCAATTTATTTCTGGTTGGATTAAACAAATGACGGGTAATATTAGATTAATTAAGAGTCGTTAGTGAATTTGATTGCATTTCCGGGGCTCTGGGAGATCCCAGATTTCAAAATTTCCCGGGGGAGCATGCCCCAAGACCCCCTAACAAACTCACGCCTTCGGCGTTCGCTATAGCCCCCCTAACCCAAAAATGGCTCTGTGGTCCCTGAGCATGCCGTCAAATCCCCCAAGTCGCGAAGGTCGGCCTTCAGTTGCAACTCCTACTCTTCCCAACGCAACGTCTACTATGAAATGTTTTGAAACCACTGAATATCTAATAATTTCATGCCTCATTGCTATGAAAGACTAATGATGTATGAGAAGCAATTTCAAATCCTCGTTAGTGTTTTAAACTTGGCTTCCAAATCCCCAGTGCCATGAACAATGGCTCGGCTGCGCCTCGCCATTGTTCATGGCACTTGTATTTAGAAACCACGTCTAAAACACTAACTCGGATTTGAAATATTACTTATCGGTTTAAATATAGCTCAAATTCCCGCTAAGATATGACAATTGCCGTACGGCCTACTTTTAAGCAAACGCAAATTACAACTGCAAATTTCATGCTTAATTTTCTCTGTTATATTATCTGCGCATGTAGTAATGTCATTTTATGCTATACTAAGGTGCTATTTTTCAAGGGCTTTTCAATGCAGTTATCGGTTTAAATATAACTCAAATTCCCGTTAAGATATGACAATTGCCGTACGGACTACTTTTACGCAAACGCAAATTACAACTGCAAATTTCATCAGCACATTACATTGGCATAAAATTACATTACTACATGCCCGGATAACAGAGAAAATTAAGCATGAAAGTGGCAATTGTAGCTAATTTTCGTTTGCGTAAAAGTAGGCCGTACGGCAATTGTCATATCTCTTAATGGGAATTTTAGGTATATTCAAACTGATAACTGCATTGAAAAGCCCTTGAAAATATAACACATTACATTGCATAAAATTAGATTACTACATACCCAGATGACTGAGAAAATTAAGCATGAAAGTTGCAGCATATCCGCGTTTTATCCGATCAAGCGTTACGAAGGTTTGAAAAACTCTGCATTTCCACATGTATTTTATCAACTTTTCGCGGACAATTTATTACGATTAATAATAGTCTTTTATACTATATCCTAATATATCCCTTTCAACAAAACGAGGATTTGATTTTAAAATTGAGTTTCGTGTCAAATGAAGCCGCCCCCCCTGTCCACCCCCCTCTTTCCCCGTCCATCCACCTGTCCCCCCCGTCCATCCGCCTCTTCCCCCGTCCATCCGCCTGTCTCCCCCGTCCATCCGCCTGTCCCCCCCGTCCGTCCGTCCGTATCCGCATTTTTCAATTTTCCTGTAATTTACATTTTCGGCCGTTTCGTTTCGGTCGTTTCGTTTCGGTTGTTTCGTTTCGGTCGTTTCGTTTCGGTTGTTTCGTTTCGGTCGTTTCGTTTCGGTCGTTTCGTTTCGGTCGTTTCGTTTCGGTCGTTTCGGTGGTTTCGATGGTTTCGGCCGTTTCGTTTCGGTCGTTTCGTTTCGACGTTTCGCCTTTTAGTACATGCC